ATAAAAAATATTATTTTCTTAAATAATTAAATTAAAAAATAACTTAATACTTTATCGCATTTCTAATTAAATTAGATCTTTTATTACTTTTTTTTTTACATTTTAAAACATTTTCTTTGTTTAACATTAACAAAAATTATTTTCTAAGCAATTAAATTAGACTTAGGGTTTATTTTTAATCAACTTAGATTTTAGGTTTTGTTAGATGATTAATTAATTTCCCTTGTAAATTAATTAGTTTAATTAAGTTAACTAAAACTTTTTCCATAAAAACAATTTTCTTTTTCATCTTTACATTTTTGTACATTTTATTATTTCGCATTACAATTTATGTAACTGTCAAAGCCTTGTAATAGAAATTAGGGTTTATTTTACTTGTCATCCCCATTTGTAAATTTGTATTCTCCATCTCCAAAAGTATTGTAATAGCGTAGGATATTTAAATTCCGCAATTTATCGCTTTCCATATTATTGCGAGTAATTAGGGTTTGTATGACAAGACTAAAATCAACCCTAGCAAAACCCTAATTCAAAGATAATATACATGAAAAAAAAATACCTTACACACATGCACCTCTAGGGTAACCCACACTCGTTGCCTCGGATATAAACAGTCATGTCCCTCAAACGTGACATGTTTTAGCAAAGACCCTCGATTAAAAAATTGTAGTCCCTCGATGACCCTTCAATGTTGCCTTCGGTAAACAATCTTAGTCCCTTACGGCAATTGCTAAAAACATCTTACAAGTTGCCTTCTATGACTGTATAATGACCCACGCCCGTCCCTCACATCCAATGATATGGCTCACTACCAACCAATGGTAAAGTAGCATTATCTAAAGGAGGAGGAAAAGAACAAAGACTTTTTGAGTAGGTAGATTTCTCGTAATTGCTTGCTCACAAACAAAACCATTTATACCTCACACTTTCAAAAAACTTTTTAAAACAAACATTTTGTATACATTCTCAACGATACGAGAATCGTTGCAAAATTGCCTCACATTGGCATTTTCAAACATCTTTCTAAACACTCCTTTTCAACAAATATTTTCAAAACCAACACTTTGTATACATTCTCAACGATACGAGAATCATTGTAAAGTTTTCCAAACTTAGGCGTTTTCAAAATATTTTCAAACATACACAAACGCAAAGCATTTCAAAGTGAGCTAGCAATTAAGAGCACATAGATAACTATAGATGAAAAGGGTGCTAACACCTTCCCTTTTCATAACCTACCCCCCGAACTCAAGAAAAATTCTCAAAAGGTATTTTCTGTTCTTTTCACCCTTTCCATTATTGGATAAAAGAAAAGTTGGTGATGACTCTTGCTATCCACAACATTTGCGATAAAATGGAAAACACCCAAGTCAGTTCTCCCACCGTATCATATTGCTCTAGATAACTGTTAGAGGAAATCTCCTCTTTAGGTACAGAAGAATGGCGTCTAACATCTCAAAGTCATACAGGAAGTCTAAAGTTCAGAAGGTTAAGAAGAAGATTCTTGATATGTATGATATGCAGGTTTCTACATATATGCATGATTCGGTGTGGAAAGCTGATCAACTACTGATGGTTGATCCTCTTGTATCCCTTGCAAGAGTTATATATTACTGTAGTGTGTCCACACCATGGTTAATGGTGAAATCCAGGTGTTAGAACATCATCTTAAAGTTTGTTTTGTTCCTTCAACCAAGGAAGTTGTTATTGTCCAGAGTGGAGCTAAGGTCAAGCCACTGACCTAATCTGGAATATTTTATGACATGAATGAATGTCATCAGCTGAGTATTTGTCTGTCTTCTAAGAAGATTGTGCATAAAGACTGATGGTGAATACTTTGATGAAATACTAAGTATTTGTTTGAAGAAATTATGCAAATCTGCATTCTGAACATTCTGGTTCAGAAAATATGTGAGAGTTTATTTCTCTCTGTGGCATTCAGGTGTTTGGAAAAATTTGAGTAAGTTGCACCGGCTGTGTATTTTATTGGGAGCTTCTTAGAAGGATTTCTATGCATAATGGGTCCTTTTAATGATCAAGAACTAGGTTGATTGGGTTCTATATTATGAAGCTAGTGTCCCACATGATGTCTTAACATCATGATTATTGATGGTTGTGTTTTTTTGCTTGGGAATGTGCATGTGAAGTTGGATGCTTAAGCATTATTGTCAGAAGTGGCTTTTCTGACTATGTGGATTAGAATATGGAGAATATAATCCTATCTAAAGTAGTAAGCTTGGTGAATGCATGACTACTTTGTTTAAGACCTCACTAGTATAAACAACTACTAGTGGATGTAAGGGAAGAAGATTGGATTCAGATACTGATGTCTGAACTGTTGATGGTGGTTTCTTCTGTTGCAATTCACTCCAAATGAGTATTGATGATCTAGATCTTAGTAAAGCTTTTAAGCAAACTAAGAATTTTTTTTGAAGTTTGAGAGTGAATTTACACCTAGTATGCATGACATCTTTCCTATTCAAAAGGTTATGATACAGTATGCAGAACTTCAAGGAGTCATAAGGCTTGGATGTATTCTCAAGGAGTGAGAATATCTGACTCAGAATCAATTTTACTGAGGGAGTTGATGTTCAACATGTAGAAGTGTTGGTCTTCGTCATGAAAGCCTGAAGTCTTTCATGAGTATTCATCAGATGCTAAAGTTTGAATCTTCAACTGGAGCATTGTTTATCTACGACAGGGGAGTCATGAGCTTATCTGTGTATTTTTGCTGCAATGTTACATATATTGGTGGTGTGCTATTCAAACTTGTGGAGATCTTATGCCTATTATGTGAATGTAATGTCAGACAACATGTTACGACATTATGAAATTATTGGTGATCTTGACAAGGCATGGTTGGTCTTAGCCATATGAAGTTGGGTGATAAATTAGAAGTTCACATTTCTATCAAATGGTTAATGGTTATGTCTGGGATAATTTATTTTTCTCAGCAGATGTTAAAAGGGCTCTTTAGGTCTTTATTATTGAGAGATGACACAAATGTGATATTATGAGGTTTTAGTGTGTGTTATTAAGTCTAAGTGAAAGGAGAACACTTAGAATCCAGTGGAAAACAGCATGAGTAAAGATGTATTGGTCAAAGTGAAAAGAAGAAGAAGACAATGTCTGACTGGATGTCAGGAAATTATTCAGGACATGTTTCCTGTATGATCAACAAAGGAGTCCTGGTGGACAATGTCACTTCGTGAAAAAACATAGAGTCTTCATCAAACTCTATTTATCTCGAAGGAAGGGAAGATATCGAGAGAAACCCAAAGAAAAGGATAAGATAGTCTTGAGACCAAGAGAAATGGTAAAGAAGTCGGTTACGTGAGGGAAAGGTATTAGCACCCCACGCGTATGTGGTACTCCACAGGATCCACTTTCATTTGTTCTTATCTAAGGGTGAGTGAAAATCTATGTATAAGGATTTACTGCTAAAAGGAATGCATGCGAAAGAAAATACGGGGAAAATAAGGAATATTTATAAAGTTTTGCTCGCCTAGGCCCCATGACCTAGTGCCTACGTACTCCCTCATGCAATGGGAAAGCGAGAGCGTCATAGTTTGGATCACATGTTTTGGTTTATTTTGTGTTTTTTAATGGAAAATGCTAAGCTTCACATTCTACCGCTGCTCGACCCTGGGAGACTCACGCGTCTGTAGTAGAAAGGAACTAACATGTTCATACCTGACAAGGTATCTTCAAAAGAAAAATGCTTGAAGGAGGATAATGCTTCGCTCACGACTCTTTAGCAAATAGACATGGTGCAATCCGACCTTTGGGAATTTATACGTCGTACCTCCTAGAGTAGAACTAGCACATCCTTTTGAAAGTTTCGATGAAAGGCCCGAAGGCGAAAAGAGTTTGAATTGGTTGATGTTTTTTACATTGAAAAAGGGTTTCTGCAGTTTTAGAGTGTTTTATGAGTTTGAAAGGAAAAGAAAAGGTTTTAGTTTTAATACATATGCAAAAGAGGAAAGAAAAAGTATAAGGGATACTAACATAATTTCTAATCCTAATGTTATCATACAATGATGGCCCTATGGTCAAGGATAAAAGGGAAATCCTAACTATGTTAGCATACCAAAAACCTAAAAGCGAGGGTACTATCCTATAAGGAACATGCAAAGATCAAAGTTGTTATCTCAATTCTAATTGAATGACATCATCAATCATCCAAAAAGAAAGCAATAAAACCCTAAGGGGGGCATGCAAAGATCGAAGTCGTTATCTCAATTCTAATTGAGTGACATCATCGATCGTCAACAAAGAAAGCAATAAAATCCTATGGGGAGCAGGCAAAGATTGAAGTCGTTGTCTCAATTCTAATTGAGTGACATCATCGATCGTCAAAAGAATAAAACCACAAACATAAATAGCAAATAAGTGCGAAATTCCCACTACAAGTCTTTAAACAGCTACTTCGAGCGTACACTCTTTATTTCCTACTTCTCATGATATCTAGAAAAGCGGTAAAATGCGGTAAAAGGTGAAAGGGATGAAAGGAAGAAAATAAGAATATCAATAAAACAATAGTTCATAGCAAAGCCAGCGAAAGCAAGAAACCCAGAATACTTCAAGCAAGCTTCACTAAGGAAGCGTAATAGTCAGAAATAGTATCCCAAGAATATCATGTGCGAAAATAAATCGCAAGCCACAAATGCGTTGCGTTGCATCAGAGTCCATGCAAAAGATAACACTATACAAGCAAAGTAATATCCAGACAATCGCAAATAGTATGTATTTCTCATGAAATGAGAAACAAGAATGACTCGCATCGGAAGCGAATCCAAACCAAATACTTTTCAATCACATAACCAACGCTTAGTTACATGATCTAAAGCTCTCATAGTTTACCTTGCACAATCCACAAAATTGATTAGCAAATAACAACGCAACAACAAGTATCAAATTACAACTCAAAAGTGATAACGGAATACAAGTGAGTGTAATACAAATGAGTAATGGATGGTGAAAACCAAAACCGGGCAGCACTACGATAATAATATGAAATAAACTGAAAGATGCAACGGAACCAAGGAAACTCCACAAATGATCAATAAAACATAAGCATGCATCAAACAAATGTCAAAACTCAAAATACATGTCAAATGAAGCCAAATCACCCTGTAAGCAAAAATAACGCGCAAAAATATTCGACACAAGAATCGGCTCAAAATCGCCTGGTTGCATCTAAACATGCCAACGGATTCAAAAAAGTAGGTCCCATTAATTAATTCTAAGTGGAACTAACATTTTTGGTGTGTTTTAGTGCACGTGACAGCAACACTGTTTTAGCATGAACCGAGCGGAATTTCGATTTGAAATCATGAAAATTACCTCCGAACACTATCCAAACGTCAAGTCAAGGTGCATTGAGAATTAACCATTAAGCGTGTTCAACCTTGTGCTTAAAAAGTGTCTGAAATGATGGAAAAACACCAAAATCAAGTGTTAAATTTAATTTCCAAATTCTATGTGTTTGCATTGAAAATAAGAGCTCATTTGTGAATAGAATTGGAAATTAAATCACCATATGATGTGCAATGATATCTTTCACAAGTTATTCATAATTGACAGGTAAACTTTCAATTTGGTATTTCAAGGTTTTTGCACATTTTCTCTACCGAATAAAAAACAAAGTTTATGTCAATTATGTGATTACACCACAACAATGCTTCTCTTTAATCATCACAAGTCCCAAAAATTGCAAGCTAAAGGAATGCGAAATGTTATGTAAAATCAAGCCATACTTATGAACAAAATTATTGAGTTAAAGTAACTCATGGAAATGTAAATATAAATTTGTGTATCAAAGAGTCGATGCAAGTTGATTTTACATGTTAATTCAAGCATAAAAATCCATATCTAATAAGCATTGACACTTCAATTTCAAATAAGCACTTCCATGAAAATCACTTAACCAGATAAGCACTTATTTCCACTATCCAATTCTGGATTTCAAGAACATAATCTCAATTCAAATTACAACTCCAACAATTACATCTAATTCACAACTCAATTCCTTAATTCAGTTCAATTACCAAAAGTGCTTATTTAAGAATCACTTATTCAAAAAGCGCTTAAATCAAGAAAACTCACCGTAGAATCAAAGAGGAGGTTGAGAAGACGAGATTGCAAGAATCAGAGTGGAGAACGGAGGCCAGAGGTTGGCGGAATTCGCGAAACAGAGAGAGTATAGAAGTGTCGCGGTTGCGGCTTCAAGGAGGAGGAAAACAACGATTTTCCAGCGGGAAGCGGTGGCCAGCAGTGGCAGGAGGTGACTGGAAGGAGTACGGAATAGTGGTGGTCAGAGAAGACAAGGAGAATTGAGCTTGTGTTCTTGACCCTTTTTTGAAAAGTTGTTATGAAGTTGTTGTTGTTCTTGAGAAAAGAATTGAAAGAATGGAGTTTGATCTTGGAGCAAATAGAGAGAAAGTTTCTTGGTGTTTTTGTGAATTGGTGAATTATGAGACAAAAATATTATTTTAGGTTGATATAGTGAGTGCAATTGGGTCTTGGAAGTGTAATTGGGTTGGGCCTCAATTTGACAATGTAAGCTTAATACGAGCACAAAATGCCACGTCATCATAGGTGCAAAATCTTGACTTAAGCTCACCATGAAAAATGAAGACAATAAAATTTGTGACGCGTTACCGAAAGAATGGGATCAATCGGATAAACAACGAGAAATTTATTAATTTTTGAAGTTTCTTATACGCAGTGTCAGACAAAATTTCTCAACTAGCAGTTTTTTCACTTAAGTCATATGCGAAACGGGCCAAAAACAAAAACCTTCGGAATACTGTTTGAATGTGGAGTCTAAAGAGAAAATATAGTTGACATCATTTGTAAAATTATTCAGAAAGAACCGTCTAAATAAAATAAAAATTGAAGTAGTTACAATTTTTATAATATCGGGAATCGGTAATTCAAAATTCTGGTTCTGCACCACAAAATCTCCAGTAAACCATAATTTTGGGGACTTTCCTCGAGGAATCAACTCTCTGTTAGAACATATAAAACGAAGATAAAACCAAGACGGATTTCCCCTAAAAATAACGGCTCAGAAATATCACTCCAGGCGAAAGTTATGAATTTTCGAACGTCCAAGAAAATAATGATCAGCACAATATTTACCGTTTTTAATTGTTTCCTCTCAAAGTATCCGCGCGTTCAGAGATTCTCCTAAAAGAATCGGATTTTAAGACAAACACGAAAGTTGACGAAGATAACGATACAATTCCTACGCCTCAAGAATGGTTCCAAAATAGTATTCCAATCAGAAGTTATGAATTTTCGATTGCTTGCGAGACGACGGACCAACAATTAAATTCAGTAACTGTCTTCAAAGAAATAAAATTTCCGAAGGTTCTCTGCATAAAATTAACCTTCAACCCAAACACGAGAAATGAAAAGGAAATCAACACGATCTTAATGCTCGAAGAATCATCTGAAAATACCAAATCAGATGAAAGATACGAATTTCCCAACGCCCGAGAAACAGATAACCAGTCATTAAATTCAAGTACCGCTTCGGGGAAATCAAATTATTTGGAGATGTTCTGCACATGATTGGCTTCTGACATGAACAAATGAAATTGAGGGAATAACGAGACGAACCCAATTCCTGGGGAATCAACTCAAAATAGTATCCAGATTGCAAGTTGTGAATTTCTGAGCTCAAACCAGTAAAAGCACTGTTTCTGATATACACCGTCTCAAATCCACTAAAACACCCAATTTCTTTAGAATTCAGAGTGTGTTGAGGTACATGAGAGATTTTCATGATGATGGCTTGATTGATCAACAATTTGATGGCTTGTAAATCACGCGGAACACATTTAAACCTTGAAAACCAGAGTTTTTCCTCGTTGCATTGTCTAATGGAACAATTTGTTTTTGGCGGCTTCCGGAAAGGAAATACCTTGATCCCAAGACTATCAATGATTTATGCAATGCTAGATGACCTAATGAATGGTATGCATAAGACATATGAGCCTTAAAAAGGGTAGGACAAATTTAGGTTATGACAGACAATATGATCAAACTCGTGTCAGTAAGTGTGTTTGACTGAGGATGTGATGTGCATGTATTGGGACCTGTTTTGCTCAGAAGAAACAATCCGGAGCTGTTAAGATGTTCAAAGCTGTTTTGGATGGTGCATTTTTTTGGGTGGAAGTTTCTCCTCAAATAACGTTTCCTTTTGACCAAGTTTATTTCTACATTCAAGGATCTTTATTTCCCAAGTAATTGACCACCTACTTATAAAGGTTTCTTCTTTCCTCTTTCACGCCGTGAGTACTTGATATGTCCATAATTCTTATGGATTTAGTTCAGGTTTGGGTGAGCTAATCTTGGGTCTGGTTTTGTGAAGGTCTCCTTTACCAATTTTTGTCTAAAAAGGGGGAGAGAGGGTTAGCTTAGATGTTGAAGCCACATGAGTTTCTTACAGTTGCTATACACAAATGTCTGATAAGATATTAGATCATGTTTCTGTGTCTTGTTTTGTGACTTGTGACCTCAGTTATGAACACAGTTGTGACTTGTGTTCTGAGTTACCTACATTGATGGTTGGATACTTCTTAAATTTCCTCTTATGCCACAGATTGACTGGTGGTTGCTTCATGGTCCTCTTTTTCCACCAACTGAAAGGAAGATCTATTCATTTATGACTAAAATATGTTCCTGTGTTGAGGGGGAGTGTAGGCCTATCATCTTCCTCGTCTGGATTAGTGGCATCAAATACCTTCAGAACTTTCCTTCCTTTTATCTTGAGGTTGTTGTCCCTTGATGCTGAAGTTGGTACTACAATGGAGCTCATTCAAATTGCTTGAAAGAAGATGTCAAACAAAGATGTCCCAACATCTTTACTGGAGACTGACTCCATGGCTTTATGCTACAGTGTTCAACAGTTGCTGAAGACTACTGTTGATGAATTTTTTGTCTATTGCTGTAATTTATTTGTAATTTTTATTTATTTGTTTTAGCCAAAAATTTCCAAAGGGGGGGATTGTAAGTTCTCTAGTTTTAAGGATTGGCATTAATTTCTGTAAAACAAATTATACAATAATATGTTAGATAGGATGTATTAACTTGCTAACAAGAACAGGTTAAGAAAGAAGTCTTATCTTATGCTAGGACATGTTGAGTTGAAGAGTTTCAACATTTGAAATAACATGTCGGATAAGATGTCCTTTGAAGAAGCATACGACATCACGCCTGAGCTGAAGTGGACAGTTAGATTTTGTTATGATTTAACTGATGCAGAATATTTTGGAAAATATTATGCAACATTATAGGGAACTGATTTAAAGGTCAAGAAGAATCAATCAGAATATTGAAGAATATACAGTTTCTAAATTTGGAGATAATTTAGGAAGATTTGATTGAAGACCTTGTTTGTGGCAGAAGTTACTGCTGTTTGTTATAGTTGATATGTTGTTATTTGAGGGCCCAAATCCAGTTGAGTATAAGTTATAAATAGAAGTGTTTTTAACCTAGAAAATACACGGGTTCAAGATGTATAAGTCTAGGGTTTTGTCTTTTTTTCGCTCTCTAGGAGAGTTGGTGTAAGTGAACCACTCGGGTTGTGAGATGGTCAATGTTGTTCTCACTCAGAGGCTGTGAAATAATGAGTTGAGTATTGTTCTTGGAGGAAGCTTTGAAGCAACTCCAAGTTGTGGTCTTAGTCAAGAGTGTTGGCTAGTGATTATCATGGAAGTGTGTCTTCCTGTTTGTTTAGAATTGTTTTGATCTAATCGTTGTCTGTGATTGAAGAGGGAATGAGGAGGGCCTCATATCTAGGTGAATCTTAGATAGAAATCTAGGATGGATAGTGATTAAGTGATTAGGCCATAAACTGGAGGTTTGACATAGGGTATGTGAATTGATACTATCACAGTGGATTTGTCCCTGACTTGGTATGCCCCTAGAGTAGGAGAGTTGCTCCAAATTGGGTTAACAATTCTGGTGTATTGTTTATACTTTAGTATTTTTTTTATTGTTGATACCTTGCCTGTTTATTTATGTTGGATCAGATGTCCCAACATGTCATAGGACATTTGAGTTCTGTCATACCAGAATTTCACACACACACACACACAAATATATATATATATATATATATATATATATATATATATATATATATATATATATATATATATATATATATATATATATATATATATATATATATATATATATATATATATATATATATATATATATATATATATATATATATATATATATATATATATATATATATATATATATATATATATATATATATATATATATATATATATATATATATAGCACATCATGAGAAATTTCATGAAAATTCATTAAGCTTTTGTTTTTTAATCAATTTATGTACTTCCTAAATATACAATGAGTGACAACCCCACAATTGTGCATGACTGTTAGAGGGGTTTAGGGTATTTGGGGTGTTAGAGAAAGCTCAGGTAGGAATGATGAAAAGTTTTATATATTGGTATTTGTTGAATGAATTAAATGTCCTCCTCAACTCAATGGTTGAGGTATTTATAGAGATTAATTAGGCTTGGATATTTAAGAATCAAGAGTGTGGTTATTTTATCTTTCTCTTAGAAGGTCGAGTCGATATTCCATTATTACTTTGGAGGACATAGCTTACCTATTTAATTGCCTCTCCTACATTGTTACCAAACAAGGACCATATCATGCCCCACATTTTAAAAAGTGGGTGAGATGTGTAGACAACGAGTGACACAACCAGATAATGGAAGCACATTTCAATAAATGGGAGACTAGGAATCCTACTAGGGTAACATATTGTATTAAATGTTCTTAGAGAGATTTGTACCACCTCTTATAAGCCATTTACAAATATACTAGTACACGTACCCTCAAGCACGAGGGCTTGTTAAATACTATGTAATTTAGTCTTATCTCCTCTTCATTTTAGACGAGTCCCTCAAGAATGGATTGAGGTGAGTCCCTCAGGCAAGAAATTTAATTCGAGTCCCTAAAGCGAGACTTTTAAGTTTAATCCTCATGCGAGACTTTTAAGTTGAGTCCCTCATGTGAGACTTATAAGTTGATTCCATCTAGAGAGACTTTTAAGTTGAGTCCCTTAGATGAGACTTTTAAGTTAATTCCCTTAGACAAGACTTTTAAATTAAGTCCCTTAGGCAAGACTTTTAAGTTGAGTCCTTCACGCATATTGTTCCTTCATCAACAAGGATTTTTCAACAAAGTTCAACATTTATTGCCTCTGAGGGTGACAATGATATTCTAGTGTAAGTCCAACATTTATATTGTATCTAAGGGTGACAAGGATATTCCACTAGAAGTCCATCATTTATCTTGCCTATGATGGTGGCAATGATCTTTCAATGGAAGTTTATCATTTATATTTCCCTTGAGGGTGGTAAGGATCTTGTAGTAGATGTTAAACATTTATAATG